TGGGAAGTATTTGCATGCTTTTTTGAAAATGTTGCTTCCAACATTTTTCATTCTGTCTCTTCTACTTCAAATGATCATCTTTGTAATTTTTTGAAATCGGGCAACGTTATTGATTTAAAGGTCAGCGCTGATTTGCGACGACAAGTAAAAGTACGTGTCGTAATAATGCTTATATCTAGTCAATTTTAAAGTGACATTTCTCTAATTATAATGTTGCCCAGGTTAGATAGATTTTGATAGGAATGCGCCTGTAAAACTTCAGCTCTACCTAGAGATGTCCTGTAATGTTTGACTTTTAGATTAACAGCTATCTATAGTTTAATAAGCATTGCTGTATTTCATCGATGGCAATCTGCGATCTTCAAATATTTATGATATATTAATCAGTACTTCTCATGATATAAGTGTTTGCTGTTACCGAATACGTCCCTCCTTTGGTCCTCCTAGGGTCTACGCTCTTCTAGTCTTCGTGAACGGGACTAAGAGAGATATCAGAGTACTTGAAGTGCAGCTCTGATTAAACCACTTATCGTTAGATATGTTCGTATATCATCCTAGAGCTTACCACATTACCACATAATAAAGATAACGTACGCTTCTATCATTAGCAAACGATACGAAGATTGTTGAATTCGTAAATGTATTTTTAAAAAAACACTTCCTTATTGTTTTTAGATAGATCTAGACCTTTTATTCGATCTGTTAATTGGTGGATATCGCAGTACAGACAAAGATCCGCACTATGATAATTTTAATGTCAGTTTCATGATTCTTTTTTTACAAAGAGTTTATTATATTGGTGTATTTTTCACATTTCATAACTTCATACACACTGAGTACGGTAGAAACGATGGTTTGAAAATAAATATTGGGATTAAATGTTGACGTAAACAGCTCGCAAAGTTGTTTGCGAAACTCTTTGCGAAACAATATTATAAAACTGAGATGCTACATTTTTAAATATATATATATTATATATCATTGTATCTCATACTTGAGTGGGTTTGGGGTAGATATCACCCGGGAATATATACCATATATGGGTAGCGGGAAGGATATATTGTATATGTCCCGGTCCAGGCAAAATGCGGGCAGATACTATCCATATGCATCCCGCTCCCGGGAATTTTTCAAAAATCAAAAAAATCAAAAATCAAATCAAAAAAATTTAAAAGTTTGAAACTTTGAAAGTTTACATTTTTTAAAAAGTTTAAATGATACAATTTCATTGTATTGAACTAAAGGAATATTACGAAAATGATAATCGTCATTTGAAAAAGGTGGAAAGGTTCATTCCTACCCCAAACCCACTCAAGTTTGATATACATCAGTTATGTACAGTCGGGTTTGGATATAGGGTATATCCCTCGGGAAATATTTATATCTCTCCTTGGTCCCTTCCGTCCCGTCTATAAATATATTCCTCGGGATATATCCTATATCCGAAACCTCCCAGTACATAACCCTTATATGTACGTTTGATGCCCATTGCTCGAAATTCTCGAATCTCCGACAATACAAATATGGGACGTTAATTGAGACAAACTAAGATTTATTATCAATTTGGCAATTCAACAGTTTTGAACGTATTCACTGTTTAAAATATTTCTGAGAGCCTGGTATATCTCTTTATGGTCAGATATGATCGAGGACATATATTTCAAATCTGAAATTAACTTTAAAAGTGACTTCTATAACATGTAGTTAATTACAATTCAATATTCAATATTTGAAGTTTAGAGGTGTTTTTTATGTGTACTTCAATATGATATATATTTTTATTTACATTTGGCCACATTTTTTAATGCGATAAAAACAAAACATATGTTATAGCAGAATATAAATTCATTTTATTCCAAGTTTTCTACAAAAATATGACAAACAATAAAATTCAAAACATAAACGTTAAATTTTGCAAATGTGCACTTAAAAATATTTTGATTTCAAAAAAATTAAACAGCATTGTCATGCCTGAGTAGAGACAGTAACATTGTTACCACACTCAAAAAAACTAACGTATTACAATCACATTGATATATTTATGTTTCATATTTACAAATGTAAATATATATTCATATTTTTTATTTACAATAACACTTCACGGCAGACATAAACTTTATAAGTAGTTCGGGCTCTTTGATGTTCATACCTAGGCGGGGTGCCCCATCTTAAAAAGCCAATACATCTCGTAGAGTAGACAGAATATATAGGTAATGAATATTAACCTATCGGGGACAGCTCTCAAATTCTATAAAAATATGTCTAATTGCTATTCTAATTTGCACTAGGTGTTACATGAAACTTGTTAGAACCTCTTGAAAACACAGGGCGAATTTTCACTATGGCTCTAACTTGAACAATATCTATCCAATTTTTAGAAATTATGTTTCGAATAGATTGCGTGGAATGCATGAATGGGTTTGCTCTCTTTATTACATTGACCAAATCGAGTGTCACATAATGATTTGATGGTTAACTGAAACTTATTTTGTAAATTATGACTTTGATGTCGACTATGTATTTACATTTCGGTTCCTTCGATTTCCTTCCAAGAAACGTTACGCAATTTCCTTTTGAATTCGAAGTAAAGGACACTAATTACGATTAATGTTTTCAATAATTCCAAATGAAGCAATGAACACAATGACCTCGCTCAAAACACACCAAGTATCAACAGGTAAAATGATGTTGAATATATTTATAAATATGATATGTATTGATTTCTAGATATTTGAATAATCTTTTATCCGAATCCGGTAACTTAAGCCTACCGCTACCTGAAAACCCCCTGGCCAACGCTCTCTATAGCGGGACGTTATCAGGGCACTTCTAAATATAATTCAGTGTTAATCTCCCAGAGCCCAGAATATTATTCAATCGGAGATATCAACTGTAAACATGTAAAATTCCTATTCTCATAAAACGTGGTGAATTGAAAATTTTATCATATACATTTATTGAAACGGACTTAGTTTCGGCCAAATACATTTAATACAGTAGCTTATCGAGAGGAGTACCCGAAGTTGATTCAAATATTTTGATGCCCCAAATACGTATCCAAAAGTGCTAAATTAAGTAGTGCCTCGACACAGATCAAATATAATGCATTTAGAGTGAAAAGATCAATTAACATGCTGAATAATTTGCATTGATTCCTATCAAAGAACATCTTTAGTTTGAGATAATGCCGGAGAGGTTTTGGCAAGCTCAAGAATGTGAGCCACCCGTAAAGAATTCTCTAGCATGTTTTGCCGTTCAGCTTACAACTCATTTCTAAACATGCTGTGGATCGTGTTGCAAAATTTGCATCATCAAATCAACAACCCTGCCAAAAGGATGAAATGAAGAAGGGTAGATTATTTTGACTCTCTTATCCAAGACAAACTTTTTACTTCAGACAATCGCAATAATGGTTGAATATTCATCACAGATCATGTACAGTATATGTACGTTAAGCCAGGATTCTAAGCTCAGTCACGAGGACATGGGTCTTTCACGACTATTATCAGTTTTCTCAGTGGTCAACGCCAAAACTAAGCGAAGTGGCAGTTTCAAACTTTTATGTATTATCTCACAAGTTTTAAAATTTTGCTTGTTTGCTCAACTTTTGTCAATTACCCAAATGCGAGTAGGTAGTTACCAGTTTCACCACCAGGTGGCTGATTCGGGTCAATTAACATGGCAGGTATATAAGAAAGTTCCCTTAAACTTGAATATTATTAATTTAAGTGGCTCAATTTTCATAAAACCCTTATGTGTCTGATACTTATACTCATGAAAATATGTCCAGGAAAGCAAAATATTATCTGTCCACTAAAAGAACATCCTCCGATCACAGGGCTTCAAAATCCAGAATACCTTCTTTCTTTTTACAAGAAGGAGGTACGGATTCTGGATACCTGCTTAGGAGGATGCTAAAAGAAAAGATATTTCATTTTTTGTGATTTTATAGCATGGGGTCTATGGGGAATCTCCCCGAGCTAGAAGTCACATTTTAAAAGAAAATTAATTTTTCAAAGTTGATAAACACTTTTTAAAACCACATTTCTAGATGTAATTTTACATGTAGATTTCAAATATGATATTACTTTGACCGAATTTTGAATTTTTAATGACGTAAATCAAGATTATTTCTACTCGCATCTGGGTTATTGTTACTGTGATCCATTTTGACATATCTCACTTTGGGCCATTGCTCTAAATGTACGATAAACAGATTTTGATGTGAAAAAATGTATTTAACAATGAGATAAATCGATGAGACAAATGTTTAACCTTGATGTGCGCAAATCTTCAACTCTAATATGTATTTAAAGTTACTTATGCTCAATTATACGTGTCAAAGTAAGTGTCTTCAAAAGACAAATTAGGCACAACACTCAAAAATGAAATGGCAGAATACAGATACAGTTCTTCAAATGATAACTCAAATGTTTGCTTTAATGTTAAGTATGTAGAGTAAACAAGCTTAAGTAAGCCTTATCTCTCATGTTGGCACCCCTTGATAGCCCTAATAACTTGGATTTAGCCTTAGATATGGACTACCAGTACACACGGACAAGTGCACCAGTCCATCGACTTGCACACCCTCGGGATACTAACTACTATAAATGCTGGCCAGGCAGTCCCAAGTTATCATAACTGACAAATGCGACGCACTGTGTCATTTGTTTGTTAAATATCCATACAGTTGCATATGATATCGATATGTATTTTATAAAATAATATACAAAAATGTACAAAGTATAAGTTTCATTATAACTTTCAGTCACTGAAATGTTTTAAACATTGAGTATTTGGAAGACTCCACCGTTGCACATGGGCGCCATCATATCACGCGTCCACAGTCAGAACCGGATATGAAATAAATATTATTACACCACTGTTGTATATACATGTTAACTGATCGATTGGCCGAAATACAAATCTTTTGAGGTTTACAAGTACGAATTTTGATTATAAATACACCCAAAAGACGAACAGTATTTTTTCTTATAGAAGTCACATTTTCAGAGATATTTCTCTCGTTCGTTTGATTACAGTATGTCTTATATTTGTACATTTCCAAGAAATGTCCTAGTTTAGTAAAATGCAGAATGTTCACCAGTGAGTGCAGATATGAGGCAGGAATTGCTGTCCATGTGTTCGTAGGTATACGTTCCCGATGTGTCCAATGTATTCTCATAGACCTGACTGTGCCTATAATTGTCATTTTGTCCAACAACGACTTGATTATCGTTGTTACTACTGTTCTTAATGCACCCTTTCTCTTCACTAAGTGCACAGTCATTACTATCAAAAGTCAATTCTTCTTTGATTGTAAAGCTCTCGGCTTGTTCCTCTTTGATCTCCATTAGTGTCAGTGTGCCTGACACACTATGGTCGTTAATTCCAGGCAAGTACTGATCAAATTCGCTGCGATCGACGTCAGCTAAGGCCTCTGCTTGGGAGAATTGTTCAAGAATCAGTTCCTCTGGAGGATGCGCGAAGCGACCTATTTTGGATTCTCCAGAATGGTATTGGCTTAAACTCCCGTCTAAAAGTGGTGGATCCTGATGTGATAATTTTGGTGGAGGGGATGGTGTGGTTAATGTTGGGGGTTCTTGGCTGGTACTTCGCCCATAAAGGTATGGGAATGTTGCGCTTGGACTGGGGCTACTGACGAGTGCGCGCAGTGTTACCAAATTTTGAGAGGAGTTGCTGCTGGCGGGTGGACTATTGGCAGTCACGGGTGCTCTAGAGAATCGTCTCAGTAGCTCTCCAACGGGGCTTCCTATAGGCGGGATCGATTCCGCCATCGAGAAAGGTGGGGGGAACTTAAAAATATCGTCCCTTGGCTCCATTGGGGACATATCAGGGGTAAGAGGACCAATAGCCTGGGAGAAGTGCTGATTTTGGAAGTGGGATGGTCTGCTACTACGCTCTAAACAATGACCTGGGCTGTTTTGTCCAACAAATGTTTTAGTGGATTCACCAAGCTCTGGGCTTGATCTTGGAGATGAGTCTGGTGTGTTCAAAACACTAGTTACCAGAATAGAGGCGCTCTTTTGTTCGTTGTATCCATTTAGAGATGGCATGAGGGAGTCGAGTGATGGTTCAGACATTGACACAGGTGATGGTGAACATGACTCGGAATCCTCGGGCAAGCTACTTCCTAAACTGTCATCATTTGACGTATTTGGGGTCACCATCGAAGCTGGTATACCCGTCATTCTCTTTACTGCTCGTTTTGGCGTCTTCCTCCTTCGTGGTCTGTACTTGTAGTCGGGGTGTTGCTGCATATGGAGGACTCTCAGTCGCTCTGCCTCCTCCACAAATGGTCGCTTTTCTACTAGAGGAAGACTGCGCCAGCGCTTCCCTATAAATACAACATACGAGAAATATTAGTAAAGCATGAGATATAAACAGCACATCAGCTGACAATGACGTACAAGTACAGAAAGATGTATAAAAGCCTACCAAGAAAATGCTTTTTGTTTGTGGTTTTTAGTTTAGTTATGATTAATTGCTTTTGAAAGAATCGTCTTTAAATTCTTCTAAAAGTCATTAGGTCGTTGAGGGTTTCGCGAAATGTTTATTAAAGGCGTCTCAACTGGTGTCAGATTCAGAGATCGGTGTCCTGGCCTAGCCCTCAGTGTGTCAATTAGAATGGGAGCTGATTTAATTAGAATGCAATTAAACTGTAAGTAAAACTACTTGTCTTATCACAGCGGTATCCCATGATTTCTAATTAGCAGATAAATGCCTGGCACGAAGAAGATACTATGCATCTCCATTCTCCATGTTAATGCATGCTTTGGTTTTTTATTCACCCACTATCCTTTAACTAGCTCACTTTGTGAATATGGCTTTGTATTGTAAATATTGTATGAGCTACTCTTCTTTTCTATTTCATGATGTATTAGCTATTTTATATTATATGGTACATCATTGTATTATCATATTGTAACTGTATTGGATTGTATTGTACTGTATTGTATGGTGTTGTACTGTATTGTATTTTATTGTATTGTGTTGTATTTGCATTGTAAGTATTGTATTGTGTTGTATTGTATTGCATTGCGTTGCGTTGTGTGGCGTTGTATTGTATTGCATTGTATTGTATTGTATTATATTGTATTGCATTGCATTGTATTGGACACTGTGTGGACATTGTGTTGTATTGTATTGCGTTGCGTTGCGTGGTGTTGTATTGTATTGCATTGTATTGTATTGTGTTGTATTGTATTGCGTTGCGTTGCGTAGCGTTGTATTGTATTGCATTGTATTGTTTTGCATTGTATTGTGTTATATTGTATTGTGTTGCATTGTATTGTATTGCATTGCATTCTGTTGTATAGGACATTGCATCATCGTTTGCACTGTGTAGTCGTTACACTAATAGTCTTGAACTGTTACTCATTGGTATAGTTGAATATAATATTTACGTCTCTTACAAACCTGGTCATGTTAAACTTGTCATAGCCTGGATTTGCACTTGATTTCTCCAAATAGGTTTGGCTCCGATTTTTCAAAACAGGAGTAGATAATTATAATTACTTCAAGACCTTTCAGCTGCGATGTGTGTTTCTCTTTACCCACTTTCTTCACTGTAGCGATTGCTTACTAGCTTTTGAAAGTTTTTTACTAGTTTTGAAATTTGAAAGTTTTTTACTAGTTTTGAAATTGTAGTAATTCGTGACAATGGGATTCTGGCAGATTATTAATATCAATAGTCATTTTACCAAAAGAACTTGAAGTATCAAGGAACTTATAGTATCGTAACATACGTCGTCTTATCCTAATAACAAAACATATATTTATTCAATGTTCTCTGATTGATCTTAAATTCAGCATTCTCATCTGAGTGGCCTTATAAAGCAGTAGCATAAAATTATGAATAATGATTAATTCAAATACAAGTATGTCATCCCTCCCTTTCCAAAAGACCGACTTCGTGAAAGATGATTCAAATCGGAGTCACGAACAGCAGCAAAACTCGTTCCCAGGACAAGAGATCATAAATAATATACGTCATGGTAAACAACAACAGAAGTCTAACATTTCGTAGAAACGTCAAGCACATGATTTTTACTCATCAAGAATTCTTTGGTAACAGGGCACACGGGAGTTTGTCTCTTGAATGATTTGGTGAGGAATTGGGACTCGGCAAACATTGATAAGTATTGGCAGTGCACGAATCGATCTAATGCTCTTTTAATTTTTGACCTTTGTGTTTTGTGTAACGATTGATCAACTTTTTGAAGTTCAGATCCTTCACATAGGGTACCTTGACCACTATACAAGATCAAAGAATGTACTAATAATACTAAATCACTCTTAAGAGGCCCCCTTGGACAGTTTTCGTCAATGCGAATACGAACGTCATAGTGTCGAATAAATCAGTCATTTAGATTTTTAAAAGAAACATTAATAAGACATCGAGAATGTACTGAACATCGTATATTGTAGGATTTCAATAAATCATTATACACATTCCGACAAGACAGTAAAGGGCTATACCGTTGCATATATACTCGTATATATACTTTTTTCCAATTTATCATTGATTTTCCCGATTTTAATGTGCTCTCACATTTTAGTAAATTGAGATTTTTCAAATTGATTTTACATCTGGTCGAAAAAATAAACCAAACGCTAATAATTAACAACACATCCATGAATTATCTGATAGAATCCATTGAAAGAATATGCTTTGTCATTGCCCATTATTAACCCTGATACATGTCAGTCATTGCCCATTGTGAACACTGATACATGTCAGTCATTGCCCAAAACAAAAGTTCTCTGATACATGACAAGAATTGACCATTTTGAACGCTCCCTAATACACAACAGTCATTGCCCATTGTGAAAACTTACTGATACATGACAGACATAGCCCATTATAAACATTCTCTGATACATGACAGACCATTGCGAACACTAACTGATACATGACAGCCATTGCCCATTGTGAACACTCACTGATACACGACAGCTATTGCCCGTGTTGAACGCCCCTAATACACAACAGTCATTGCCCATTGTGAAAACTTACTGATACATGACAGACATAGCCCATTATAAACATTCTCTGATACATGACAGACCATTGCGAACACTAACTGATACATGACAGCCATTGCCCATTGTGAATACTCACTGATACACGACAGCTATTGCCCGTGTTGAACGCTCCCTAATACACAACAGTCATTGCCCATTGTGAAAACTTACTGATACATGACAGACATAGCCCATTATAAACATTCTCTGATATATGACAGACCATTGCGAACACTAACTGATACATGACAGCCATTGCCCATTGTGAACACTCACTGATACACGACAGCTATTGCCCATTATAAACACTAGTTTATACATGACAGCCATTGCCCGTTTTGAACACTCCCTAATAAACGACAGCCATTGACCATTATAAACACTCTCTAATAGTGGTACATGGCAGCCACTCTCTAATACATGGCAGCCATTGCCCATTATGAACACTCACTGATACATGACAGCCATTGCCCTTTTATGAACACTAACAGATACATGACAGCCATTGCCCTTTATGAATACTCACTGAACATGACAGCCATTTCCCTATATGAATACTCACTGATACATGACAGCCATTGCCCATTATAAACACTCTCTGATACATGACAACCATTGCCCATTATGAGTACTCACTCATGTCAACTACAGTCAATAATGTTTACCATTTTTATTCTCAAACTACTATCAAACTACTATAAGCACCATAGATATAACTAAATTCATATACAAGTCATAAAATTCAACGTTTAAAATATTCGCAGCGATCAATTATTCGAAACATGTAATGAATATAATTGTTTGCAATAGAATTTTTACACGTAGAATATGTAGTGCTTTAAGGGTCAAGAGAGGATACCATACACCGCTGTAGGCCTATTAGTTTTTTTTATTCATGTGAAAAAGAGATCCAGATTACGGAGGCAGGTACGGAAATCCGTAAGGGAAGGGGCTCAAATTATATTTGTAAGTAAATCAACGTAGAGCTGAGCTGTATTACATTTCAAAAAGGATTGGGGGTACAGTATGAGATCCCATAGTCGATACATTTTCTTTGGGGCCGTAACATAAAATGGAATAGGCCCAAAATGAAATACCTATACCGAGACTAGCACGTCGTCTTTTTGGATGTGTTGTATAGAATCAGATAGAGAAATGAGCATTTTAAAAGACATATAACTTGAGATGTAATGAAAAAGTAACAACTTGAGTAATAAACTTATTTAAAGAACGTTACTCGGTCAAGGTAAAGGTATCCTGCATTAACCTTGCCAGAGGCAGAATTGCAAACGACAACGCCACGCTGTTGAACCAAGGGCGTTACAATACCCGGGAATTTATCGGTTCGTCCAGTACTTGTTTGTGATAGCGCCCTCTGTAGGTCACTGTGCTTATAGCCTACATTTTATGCGTGCGCGCGCAGCTCATCCAATGAACGAAACGCCACTTCCCGCTGAAATCACCGGGTATTGATCTTTCCCTTGGTTGAACGATAAACAAAATAAGTTGGTGTTTTCAAATCAATGTCAATGATGGAACAGTTCATGATATACTGGTTAATAACATAAAGTATTGCTTAAAATTCGCCCAATCGCTGTATCAATAATGTACAAAATAAAGCAACAAAAATATTCCTAGGAGTAGGCCAAAAGACAAGCAATGAAGGAGCGAGAGGTGACATGGGATGGAGCCCTCCTATCCACAAGCAAAAGTTGGAGTGTGCCCGACTATATTTGCGACTCCACAATATGGAAAATACCAGACTAAATAACCGGATACATATATGGTCACTACGGAGAAAATCAAGCTGGAATTTCCGCACAAAACATTTCATTGAATCTTGTGGTATACTTCTGAACAATCAGTACATTGAGATAAAACCATGTATTAAAGCTATTAAATATCACCTCCAAACTATTGATCCTTTTCTTCGAAATATCTGGAACGATAAAAATAATGAAACAAATGGCAACAAACTTAGAACATATCGTCAATTTAAATATGGTGCATCAACCGAAGCGTACATTGAAATGTTTATGCCTCGCCATCATAGAAGTATCCTTGCAAAACTAAGAACTGGAGCATTAAAACTGAACATTGAAACAGGCCGTTATACCAATACACCCCTAGAGGAACGAAAATGTGCTTTATGTGACACTAATGAGATTGAGGATGAGATACACTTCACTCTCAGGTGCTCTCACTACAATGATTTGAGAAATAATTTTCTAGCTTCTGTTAATACACTGGCCCCTAACATTGATACTGGTACAAATGATCATATTATGCTGTTCTCTAGACTTATGCACACACCCTGTATACAGAGAACCTTTGCAAGTACACTGTTTAAGATGTTCAGTAAAAGGAACTTTGATCTAGAAAGACTTTAACAGAACCTATATTTGTAATTACTCAAGAATAGCAAACTAATGAATTGTCTCATATTCTATTTTGTTATAAGCACAGAAATGTTATCTGTCAATGGTCAGTTATATATTTATATAGTATGACTGGATGGAGGCCTTATAAAATCGATTTTGCCACTTTACAGCACCTTTTACTCACTATTTAGAATTGTGATACTGTCATAATGTATAAATGATGCATAAATATTTCCATAATAATGTATAACATAATAGCAACTCTGTAAATCTACTACATTGTGGGGACCCCTTTGGGGGTATTGGACCAACCAGAGGGCCCTCACATCACCAATTGATCATGGTTTCTTTTTCCACTTATCTACAGGAACATCAACCTTGGGGAAGATGTCTCCTTTCAGTATAAGTAAAGGAACAATGAACTTTGTATACATGGTCTCTATGACTGTTTATTTTGCATTTAGTAAGTTTACATTGAAAATTGAATATTTTGTTGAAAAATGAATATTTTGTATACATGTACCATATGGTGTCTCATAAGCCGGCATCGGCTGGAAGCAAATGTTTTTAAAATGTTTTAAATGTATTTTAACATGCTTGTGACACAAAAATAAACTATATTAAACTTTAAACTAACTCTCAACTTTATAAGAGTGTTGCAAGTCTATTGTTCCAATCATTTCCAATCATGCAGTCGTCATGGTTACGTGTAATTTATTTATATATCACTGCAACATATATGAGGCTACAACCCAAAAAATCCCTATGGATCTACAACAACAGATCTTCTCATATGCATATGATCTAAGCGTAAACGCTGAATCAACCTGCAAATTTGGTTTTTGCGCCATACAAGGGGCAATTCAAGATATTTGGCAATTCATGTAAGTTTGTGCGTATTGTAAAACGTTGCTGTTTTAGGTATCGAAGGTACAACAACCACTTAAACATAAACGACTGTATTTTCCCACGGTCACACAAAATATAGAGGAAATATCTTTATGACTCTTTAGTGGACGACAGACGGACAGATGAGTTTGCTACAGTCCGATCAGCGTTCGCTCGCTGGGATAATAAAGGTAAACCTCGTGTCGTCAGCGAGCTGTCATTATTTTAGTTTACACTGTTTAATACTTTTCGAAACCCCAATTCAGAACAATAAATTTGATCTTCAGATTTATTCTAGTTTCAAGAGAGTGTTGAGAAGAGAATATTTGATTTTTGTCTCACGAATACCATAACATTGCTCAATATGACAAGATGGCAATCCAAAATAACAGTCAAAGCAACTTATGATCCAAAGTTTAAAGTATAACCCAGACATTTAAATCATAAAAGGTATAATTGACAATTCAGCATCCCAATAATATAACTATTAATGTATTGCTTAAGCATACAAAAGTACTTAGGTCACCAAAACTATGTCTCTGTGTCCTACATAAGACCTCTCAATGTACATAGTGTAGGACTAGAGTTAAAGGGATGCCAAAGCTAAAGATCCACAGTTTTGCTGAAATTAACACGTGTTTTGTTTCCAGATTCCAACTGGCAGCGAAATTCAGTAAAATATTTGAAGCAACGTGTATTTGTTACATTGGATCCTAAATAATTCCTGAATGAGATAGTTGACCAAATATGATTGGAAGATACTGCACATCAAAGATGCACGCATACATGTCCATTGTCCAAATTAAAACGTCAGGTTTTGTGAGTAATTGTAAATGGATCCTTTCAACAAATTCCGGTCCCTTTTGATGAAACAAATTATCGAAAATTGGGCACAGTGTCTGTAAACAATATGGCAAGAAAATTACCAATAGCTAAATATACAGCTTAATTCTTCCTATCCCTCTATTGAAACGAGAATTACACCATATCAAATAGATCGTTCACTTGGAAATCAGTCCGCACAAGTGCCAAATGGAGAGACCAGAGTATCAGAAAACACAACACAAGACAAGTAACTGAAACAACCGGTCATAACAACCTATAATCTATCCCACAAAGAAACAATGCCTGGCAACACCCTCCCTTCCATCCCCACCATTTAGAAATCATCAACACAATCCGAAACCACAACTCTACAGAACATTTCATTCATACTAGACTTACCCGAGTCAGTGTAAAAGATCTTGAACAAATAAGGAAGATGAAATACAAAGTTACATTGTATTTCAGATACTCTAGGCATCGAAAATAGAAGATATTAGTACTCACGCAAGATAGATAATTCAGTCTCAAATGGTATAAAACAAACAGAATTTAGTCTCGAAGTTCATGCAAGTGTCAAAGCCGCCGCAAAGCCGTCGCTGTTTAGGAGATACCGTAGGTCTGACACGGAGTGATGTGAGCACTGAAGTTACTAGTTGCATACAAGTAAAACTGTAATAACGTTCCGGAAAAGTTTCTGTTAATTCGTGTATACGGTGAAGATGGTTTGATTGAAAAAAGGATTTGTCAATTTTTCAAATATATTAAAGGGATCGTAAGCGAGACATTGACGTGCTAATGTTAAAAATACAGCCGTGAATTTATGCTCTCTATCATTTTAATTTCTACCACTTTAATGTCAAGTTCACCTATTTATAATGGTGTTTTGCTTTGTTTTTGCTTGTTGCCGAACCTAAAAGGTTATTTAAAGCAAATGATAAAAACAATTAATTGCGATACACTGTGGAAGTTGTACTTGGACTATGTAAAAAACCCTGAAACCTATATTTCTTACGATCCAATGCCATGTAATAATTGAAATCTTACTCTAGATGGAAATGTTTTAGCTATTCATGTACCTGTATGAGCATTTTGATTAAATTGTCCTATCGCAAAGATCTATACAATATCCCACTCTACGTCTTGTAATTCTTATATAAACTTACCCAGCATTTTGCTAAGGTCTGCATTGTGGACATCCGGGTTCTCGTCAGCGAGTCGCTTCCTCTCAGACTTAGCCCATACCATAAACGCATTCATCGGTCTACGGATTCGGGGCTCAGCCCGAGGCCTGGCTGTGGGAGCCCTGGGCTCTCCGAGGCAGGATCGATCCATCCACTTTGCAGCTGGCTGGTACCCTGGGTAGTGGTAGTGGTGATTCGGTACTCCGGAAAACGGACCCCCTGGCGAGAGTAACTGGGTACCGTTGTGACTAACACAGCCTATGTGAGACGAAAGGGTGTCCATCTCGGTTTTTAAATCCTGCAAGTACTTTGCTATCTCCCTTTTGACTCTCTATCACAGCTTGAAGTGACGTGAAGAATAGCTCAACAGGTTGTTCCTGATGATCTAGACTTGCTATGAGAAACTGGTAGTGCTGGTGCTTGCGATAAACTTTTCGTCTCTCAGCTGACTGTCAAAACTTAACTATATCGAGTGGGACATCCTTTAATAAATGACTACCATCCTGTTAACCAATCAACGCCAGGCACTTGACAACAGAGGCCATGGCCTCGAGATACGAGCTCTATGCTAATCAGAATTTGCTGTCAAACTATCCTGCAGTAGAAGGCAAGATCTTGGGTTCTCCCAAGTCATCGTGCCCTGGAACATTACCCCTTAAAACAACTTGTTGACATTACCATAGAATTACATCTCGACGTAAAATAACAACACTTTAAGTTTTTGCTTGCTGGGAAACATAACAATAACATCTATTTTCTTTAGCACAGTTAGCATGTAAATGTATATCGATGATAATTAAAATGCAGCGGTGTCTTTGTCTTGCGGGCTTTGGTAGTGTGATCACATTAAAGTTGGCGTGTGCTTACCGAATTTGGACATCAATAAATACTCATCAGTGATGATCATAAACGTGCCACAAGACATGATAATATACATAAACATGTATCGACATGTAAATATTGTACACTCTTGTTGATTTTTGCAAAACGTCCACATTTGCTTAAGCAATACGATGTCTATCAGAAGTTATATATAGCAGGTTTCCTACTAAATACAATTACCAGGAAATTATTAGAGAGAATAATTCAGAACCAAAACACCTGAGAAAAACTAAATAAATGATGGTGTTCCACAGGGGTCGATTAATAGCATTAACAATTAAAGTTGACGCATATCATCAGCTTTATTCATATTTAGATGACCAGGGCCTTCGTTGCACCATTTCATATCGCCTGTATAATTGTGTTTCTCCTTTTGATGATGGCAATAAATAAAATACATACATAAGAGCCACCATATTATGAATATCATTGGTGTGGTACATTCTGTTCATACCTTTTCAGAGGCATATTTAGTATGTAAAGTGCATTGCTTCAAAACATTTTTCAAAATGGCAGGAGCGTTTTGAACTTCCTATATTTTTAAAAATATCATTGGAAAAACGTTCACTGACGGCTAAAACAAGAATAAAACTCATACTGAATCTCTCCCAGTAAATAAAATCTATTTATAATGTACTGTATTGTTGATTCATTCAATCCAATTCAATTTATTTAATTAAATATTTGATTATTCTATCAAGATATAAACTTTTGACCTCTCGTTAAATCGACGTAATCCACTTGCGTCCTTTTGTTACGCGTCCACATCGGTTTGTGAATATGGCATATTCACCCAAGGTATAAACGACATATTCACTTGCAAATATGACAAATATTTGTGCCATGTTTCACCCATTACAGTCTCAAGTCTCACAAGTCTCATTATATGCAAATCATATATATATATAAGAATGGCAGTATTTCCTCACATTGAGAAATGTAATATCAGGGTTGATTTTTTAAATCGCCTTTCCATTCATTCGACTTCGCTTCTTACGAGAGAGATTCGCCATCAGACTCTACACTAGGGGTATTAAAATGCCTTGTTCTAATATATTGAGCAGTAATTGAACTTCTATTCTAATTTACAACCAAAACATATACAAATTATATTATTGCAAACTATCTTTTGACGTCACATGAAGAAGATTAAAATATGTAATTAAGAGGTCAATGAACCGCAATTGCCTTATCAACAAGTATATGCAGGGTTATGGAGAAATTTTCAGGACTTCCAGAATGAAAGGAACTCTAAAAAGGACGATAAAAAGATCCGGGATCAATGGGTGGAAATAAGGGATATTATATCTGAACCCCTGCTTGAATGTGTGGGAGGTTGGGCCCAAGAGCACCTAAAGATAAGAATATCTTTTTTCAAAGAATATCATGAATAATTACAAATATATTTATGGCATAGACTTGGAAAACAAGTCTTATTTACTTTGAACAGTATTGCCACGATGAACCCATAAGTTTAATTAAGGCCAAAATCGAAGCCTTGTACTTTTCAGGCACCCGATATAAGAATCATTTTGACATTTTGTGAGGTTGGGGTATGCCTGTGTGGAAGCTTAAGTCATCCAGTGGACTCAGAGTGCCACTTCAGACAGTACGCACATTGAGATGAGTTGTCTCAATAGTAAGCAGGGGAGAGCTTGGTGACTTGGTGTTCCTTGATTATTGAATGTGTATAGGCTATGTTTACTGAGAACATATCACATGATAACATTATCAAACTAAGTTTCTCCATGCTTACATGAGTTCAATGTCAGAATATTTTTGACTTTTAGACTTTGTCTTGCAATTCGTAACACAAATTAAAAGTGCAGAAAAACATGTTTGATAGATTAGTAGAATAAGCTTGGAGTTTTAGACGATCAAATTACCCTTTATAAGACCTTTGTCCCACTAACCCTTCTTGGCACGGTTTCTATCCACACTCATTAACACTTTCCTAGTAATGGTAGTCAGTGTGCATAATGAAGTACTCATAATATCTTTAATTTCATTATTTAATGCATACGACTTTTTGGGGGTTTGTTGCAGACAACTTGATTTTGATAGTAACCTGTCCTTTCTTTAACTCATTTTTACTCATTTTATGGTATACAAACTATTTAAATATGAGGATTAAAAGTAAAAACGCATATAGATGGCAGATCAATACTAAGTTCATCCTACTATCTCGCCCTGGAGGAATGGCTCCCGGGAATGGCTCTGCTTAAAATCATCCCAGGTTAAAACTCAATGATCGATGATGAACCAGACCAGTGCACAACCTAGTTCACAATCATTAAGAATATTGCTGTTATTTGGTAATTCTGAAGGTTTACTCTTTATTTATCAATCATTAGATTGATATATCTTATTTTGATATATCTACAAGTGCACTGGAGCAAGTCAAGGAGTATTGGCTCCCAGGATCGAAACTCGATATTTTCAAACAATGAAAACGTAGTTAAATGTCTTTATTTTCTGAAATTACAACCCTATATAAAATCAGAATAAACAGTTCAAAAGATTCAAACCAATACCTCAAACATTTCTTGTGAGTTTTGGAATTTTTGTCAGGAAATAAGACCAATATTCACGATTCAAATGTTGAAGTGAACAAAATGGCGGCTGTTTGAATTCGAATTTTGTATCACGACATGCCTATATATGGGACAGAATAACGATGTTGCACTCTGGGAGCCAATCCTCTTTGGGAGCAAGTGGTGCTATTGGTGTTTACTTGTTTTTGTAGGCGACATCTTTCTATATGAATCTGCGGCGAAATTGACCAATGTAATCTCAAAATCCCATGGCAGTGTCTCGATAGGCTATATTTTGCAACACATGTGATTTTATCGTGATGTGTCATTCAGATGGCAAAAATTTTAGAAAAATGTGTTATTTCTCTTTAAGTCAATCTTTTCTTAATATGCTAAACTTCAAAATAAACCTTTGATTGACTAACTCGATTGAAAAGAAGAATATATTACATATAATGTTTTAAATATTACTGTACTATTGGTTTCAATGAGAACTAATATGCTTTTCTCGAACCAATTGCATGCATGAATGAGTTTATTTCTCGCTTACTTAACAAGGCCGGATCTGGGAACCAACAAGGGAGGGGGGGGGGGCAAATTTAAAGTCAGATAAAAATGTTTGGCCCCTAAAATCAAAAATCGGGCCCACATTTTGAAAATTTAAGGCACATTTTCTTCAAAACACGACCCAAAAATTAAAAAGTAAGGCCTTAAAAGGCCCAGTAATGCCCAAAAAGGCACACTTATTGGGCCTTCAAGGCATTTTTTGGCCCAATTTATTCTGTCCCTGCCCCTCCTCCCCCCCACCCCCAGATCCACCAACGCTTAGCTTAGTATTTATCAATCAATTTTGTATTTTTTCAAAAACATGAATGCTACATGCATGCATAAGTGTGAAATATTATTTATTAAAATATACTGTGACCTCTTGCCCCATCGAGTCCCATCTTGCCCCATCGAATCCCAATTTGCCCCATCGAATCCCACGAAGTCCCATGGGACCTTGATGACTTTGCCCCATCGTGCCCCATGGAGTCCCATCAAGCCCCATGGAGTCCCATCAAGCCCCATCAAATCCCACCGTGCCCCATTGGTGTATGTCGGGCTTCACACAACACGTCATATGATCGAAAATCCCACGATGCCCCATGGAAAGAATGAACATGTTCATTCTCGATGGGACTCCATGGGACTCCGTGGGATTTTGCCCCATCTTGCCCCATCGAGTCCCACCGAGTCCCACGTGGGACTTCATGGGACCTCGTGGGACCTCATGGGACCTCGTGGGACTCGATGGGGCAAGATGGGGCAAAATCCGACGGAGTCCCATGGAGTCCCACGGACTTCATGGGGCAAAATCCCAAAAGGTCCCACGAGGTCCCACGCAATGTTAAGTCTATGGAGGTCCCAACTTGCCCCATTGGTGTATACCGGGCTTAAAGTTTTAAATAAATTAATGATCTTTAAAAAAAACTTTCTGAATTAAAAAAAAAGTTTCACAAAGGGCTGTAGGGCCATGGTAGGGCCGAGAGACATTTTGGTATTATTGGGTAAGATTACAATATCGCATTACTAGGCCCGGGGGTTCACTCTAAACTTTTTGGGAAGGTATGTGCAGCACGGGCAATTTTGGCCCGGTGTAAAAGGGTAGGAGGTCCTATCAAATTATGGTCCTACTTTCCATTGATTTATATGGTGACCTAAATACAACTCTTTCCCTTATTATCGTATCCACAATCAGGGCCAGTAAGGGCCTTTAAGAAAGGGGACCATAATCCCCAGGGGACCATAATTTCTTTTACACCGGCATATATGGAACCTGGCCACTCTGAGAGGAAAAAACATGGAATGTCGGAGACGGAGAGCCTTTTAAAGTCAAAAATCCGTTTTTTTTTCTCATAAATGCTAGTAAATCGGTTACTAGTCTAGTTCAGTTAGCGAAGTCTGGAACAAATCGCCCACAAAGTGGATTTTGTAGTTATAACAATATTTCAGGAAATTTACTCCCTTTTATTAGTTAGTCTGGGAGCAAAAGTCCAAATAAGAGATTCCGTGTCCTTTTTAGAGGCGAGCTAAGCGACATACATTTTTATGAACTATACGTGATACTTACCAAGAAAAATGATGTTGGCAATTCTGGATCCGCGACG